AGTAGTATGAATTATGAAGAAGACGGCGTATGCGTGTTCTCTCAATTATCACTTGTACTGCCGTTAACGGTCAGTTCTTTTTAGCGTTGGCGAGACCGTGTTGAGTCAAGTGAAGCAGGTTGCTGCCGCTGCTGCTCCTACTCCACAACCGCGATCAACACCCCGCTCTCGAGGAAGTCATGCCAGCCGGCAGACACATTTCGAGACTGGTCACGAGTCACCACAATATCAACCTCAGATGTACCTGGCCAGTCATAACCAATTCCCAAGCACAAGCACGGCGCAGTAAGTTTGTTTTTCGTTGCATGAAAACACTCGATCACATCCCTCCCCTTTTGCAGTTCTTCTCTTGATCCTGATCTACTGTAGTGCTAGAACACGAAAATGGAGTTAATCAGTTCTTTCAATGATTGTATAATTCTGTGTTTCGCATTTAGATTCCAAGAGTACTCTACTGGTAATGCTAATCAGACTCAAATTGTTCATCAGCAGGAGCAGGTTTGTGGTCGCCAGCAAAACCAACAGCGGACGTATAGGGTAAGCCTCTATTACAAAAGTTATTTGTTGACATCTATGGCAAGATAAGTGTGATGTTTCAGGCTCAAACTGCTACTACCACTGTGTATCATCCACCGCCGCAACTGCCACCCGGCACTGTATATGTGCAGAACGTTCCACAAGCAGCGCAAGCCCAATTCACATCTTCTCAGCCAACAGTTGGAGAAGTGGTACGGCAGCAGCATCAGGTACGAATCTTTAAAAGCATGTTTATTGTCTGTAGTCATTATTATCCTTCTAATTATTTACAGTTGTTTGATTACCTTTTTGGTTCTTTAGTCTTGCTCGTTTTTTACGTAAATAGAACATAATCTCTTTGGATTTTTCTCTATTGCTGTAGTGATACTCGGACCATATGCTCCGGATGGGTTATTGCAAGCGATTCATGATTATAAAAATATTTCCTGAAATGCGCTATAGCATGCGTACCGAAAGGCACTGCTTTTTAATAAATTACTTTCAGTTGCGCATGTTATGGAGTCAAAACAGGTTGATTGTCAGCGGTGAGCTGCAGTCCACAAGTTGATAGTAGCCACTGGATAGGTCAGTCCGTTACTGGTGCTCAAATTCGCTCTCAAATTGTGCAGCAGTCACCTCTTCCTGCTCAAATTGTGCTTTGCGCCACCGGTTCAAGCCAACTCCTCAGGTGGTGGGTCTTCAATATATAACGTGTTCAATATGTTGGATTTATTCGCACGTTAGAAAGCATATGATGTGTTCTGCTTTCCCATTGTAATTGATACTTTTAAGACTCACGATTGTTTGTAGTGGTTAGTCGACTATCTGATGCTCTCCCGCAACAAGCTGACTAAGCGGTTGCGAAGAAAAGCGAAGATCAAGACGATTGAAAGTCGGTGAGTACACTTCTTCTATCTAAGTGTATCATTTTGCAATTTTATGAATTTTTGTGTTTGTGTGAAACGATGGCTCTAAGTCTTGCAGGCTGCGGAACTACTTTGATAGTTTGCACACAACTCTCGCTAATCCTGACACTGAAACCCCATTTGCTGATCTTCGCGATGTACTGCAACGGCTACTGCCTTATCATGCATATGGAGAGCCGAATTTGAGTGATGAGCATCTAGAACAATGTGAGACATTTCTTGGCTAACTATCATAACAGTTTTGATTTTTTTCTCCCATCGACCCATTTTGAAATTAGGCCTCGTAGGCCTTTTTGATGTTGTTTATAGCATGTTGTTGATGTGATATTCGCTTAATCAAATGCTCATTTTTAGTCGATACTAATTACATGCGCAACAACATAAACCTGTATGAACAGAGGAAACATCTAGAAAAGCGGTTGCGGAAAGTGTTCTACGATGAGGCCTTGGTTTGTTTATTTTTTCGGTGCATGTGTTTTTTGTTGGTGCTGGTTGGAGATGATCCTAATTCAGAACGGCACTGAAGCTGAAGAACGGAATTTGTTACTCTATCTTGATGGTGAGTATGCGAAGCGAAAACTTGAAGAAGAGAAGGAATTTGTCAAACAAGGCAATATCGGTTGGTTTTATACCCCATGCTTGTTTTATATACATTGTTGTTTTCATTGTTTTCTAGTTCTTTTTATTTGCTCTTGGTGTTCCCTTTTTTCCTTCCTTCTATTCATAAACGCCGTCGCTCTGTATTTGTTTGATTAGCTTTGCATATGACTTCTGTTGCTGTTGTGATCTCACTGGTAGCTCCATTCTCAGCACTTCTGAGATGCACCCCTGTTTTGTACTCTTTGATTCTTTTGAAATAGAATTACAATACGACCTTTTTCCAGAGGCGTTCGTTCGTGATAGCGCGATCATTGCTGCTCTACGTGATACGGATTACGAATCAGCTGAGAAACCAAAGCTGGCAAATCCACCATCGAAGCCTTCTAGCTCGAAATCGATCATGCAGCAGTATGAATATCACACGTTTGATGAAATTCCTCGAGTGGTATCACCATACAAGTCGCCGTCACCATTCAAGTCTCCTGCGAGTAGTATTCGGTGAGTCGTTGAAAATATTACGTTGTGAACGAGCTTTTATCTGCGGGATCGATTGATGGTTGGCATTAGTTAATAATATAAAATATTAACCTCGAAATACTTACATTATAAAATGGAAATTTTCTCTGCATTGTTACTAATTTGTTCGTCGTTTACAAACGCAACATTTGGAACGCTCAAAAATGAATTCAACTCTCGGGATCCATCTTTCTCTTTACGGTTTGAACAAATCAGCTATTTATGCGCATCAAACTTTGTCGGAGCTTATGGTGTTAGGTTCCATCCCACTACATCTCTCAACATAAGTTCCATTAGTATATGATAAAATTGGTGGTTTTGATGGCAATGGCAGAAAACGCTCGACCATCAAAAATTTGCCAATTCACCACAATTAATTGCAAGCAGTATAACGCGAAAGGGGTCGCAGGCGAGCTGGAAGTTACTGAAGTACTGTTTTAAAACTTCTGCACGTCTAGGGGACGACCAAAAAAGGAGGAATCTCTCACATGCTTGGCCTATCCTTGGCCAAATTTCGCATAAACTCTTGCTGAAACCTTTCTTTTTATACTAGGATGAGAAATGCATTGAAATGGTAACCCTAGCGAAACCCGATTACCACTTGTTCACATCGATGCAGCGCTACTCGGCTCATATGTGATCCCAAAAAGTTGAGCAAGTGCAAAAATTTACGTTAAATTGATCTGTTAGAAAGTAAAATTGTCTCGTCTCGACTGTGCCTTTAGTTGCTGGAAAGATAGAAAAGGTTATTGCAGCTCATGAAGAATATTTTTATTGGACAAATTAAACCTAACTATCAGAACAAATGCGTATTAGTGTTCTCAGATGTCATGTGTCTTCATATTTTTTAATAGTTTTCGTAGCCATGCGGAAATTGGTGCTCTCACTACCATTCCATAATTGCTGACTTTCAGATCACCCTCACCATGCAAATCACCCTCCTCTGTTGTATATTCGCCTCGTATTCGTGCAAGGAACTGTTCACAGTCTATCCATGTGTCCCCGGCCCCCGTACAGGAACATGCTCGGGCTCGTGGGCAACCTAAACCACGAACGAGTTCGGAATCCACGTATGTCATTCATCTTCTCTCTTTAGAATTCCTACCTTTATTGTCAAATGTTTCGATGACTGTGTTGTATCTGAGAATGTAAGTTCTGATTGCTCTGTGAAAACGTTCTTATTTGAAGGTCGGAAAAGAGTGAGGCTCGTAGTACTCCACTGCCACCTCCGCTCTCAAGTGTGGTTACTCGTAGGAGTACTCCTTTGAGGTTAGTCGGTGATGCATACTTTTTATTGCTACGGAATGCGTGCTTTAATTATTCCGTATATCTTTTTGTTATTTTTCCTTCTCTCTAGACGAACGCAAAGCCATCATCATATTTTTGTTTATTGTGAAAATCCTTCCTTTGTGAGAACCCTTAAGGAGGGGGCAAACAGAAACATGAGTTTTTGCATAAATTTCATCAATTATACTGTTTTTGCCTTAATTTTACTTTTTTAGGAAAGCGGTCAGCAAAGATTCTTCCAAGAGCTCACCCATGGCGCCATCTCCCGTTACTTCTGCTCCTGGAACGCCTGCATCTGTGACATCCGCTCCCACATCACGTGCTCCA